TGAGTTCTCCTCGCCGGCCTTCTAACACCGTGGCGAGGCGGTTGGTTAAGGGTGGTGTTCTGGTACACGCGGCAGACACACAACAATCCATTAGAAAAATAAATAAAACACAGCTGAGGAGCAAAAGAAATTACTTTTCAGATTCTTGAAATTGACCCTCAGGAGCAGTTCTACAGCGCGCGTTCTCACCCGTCAGGGATTGCAGTGCGAGATCAGACCTGGAATCTGCTCAGCTGGCAATATACAAATTGCCAAGCCGGAGGAGTGACTGTGCTTTGGATCCAGAGCTCATTTGCATTTTAGCTGTTACTCAGACCAGGAGCGTGAACCAGCCCGTGGGGGGTTAATTGTGCCTGGCGCTGTCTCAGCTTTCCCAGGGCTTGTGGGGGTCAGCCCGGGGCTTGGCCGTGCCGGCAGGGCAGGCCCGGGAGCGGATGATTGCGTTTAGTGGTTACTGAAGCAGAAGGTGCGCAGTGTTCCGAGATCCCCAGCTGATCCATGAAATCAGGGAGCTGCCGCCAGAGGTAGAACGATTCCACCTTCTAATCCAAGAACCCGCAGCCGGATTCCACGAGACCCGATCGTGGTTTGTGCTTCACCCTTACGAGGATGAAATCTTGGCCCCGCTGAGGTCCGAGAGTTTAGCCGCTGACGGGGTGGGAGCCACGATTTCCTCCTGGTGCTGTAGATCGTTACTGTAGAAATCCTACAGCTGGGACCATGTGCAGCTTCGTGCAGCTGAGGTCTGCAGCGACTCCAGCTGGGTGCAGAGTCCTGCCTGGCCAGCCACTTACTGGAGAGGGGCCCACCTGTGGTCAAACTTCCAAAAGCCTCATTCACTTGGGAGCCGAGGTCCTGTCGATTCCCCACTGGTATTTAGGCTCCTTCCTCACCCAGGCTGGATTTACCCTTCACCTAGTGAGGAAGCAAAATACTCAAAGCTCATTAGAGCAGTGATGGGCAGTCGGGGCCAGTGAGTGGCATCCCAGTGGGCTGCACCATTGTCGTACCCAGGGTACTCTCCCAGCGCTGGCGTGTCTCGGCTCTGCGGGCGGTGAGCCGTGGCAGCGCTG